CTACGGACTAAGACTACGCGATTTTGCACAAAACACAGATTTGGATTTCAGTTCTTTTCAATCATGGAGGCTCAGCATCACATGTGGGCGTTACCTAGGGTGGTCTGAATGCAAATGCTGCCTGCCTAGGAACACCCACTCCTCTAGCGTGCTCCTCAGACAAAAGACGTGCGACCGTACAGTAAAAACGGTTGCACGCCTTCCATACACTTTGCGATTATCGTACGATCATGGGATTTCCCGCGTGTATGGGCACCTTTAGTATCAGAGAGGAATTGCTGGGACAGCTCTGGGAGGAGGAGAATGTTGTAGCCTGAGCTGCACTTTCTTCATTCTACCACATTGCCGGAGGGACATGTGACACACAGCCCGACGTTGGACGTTAGTTATTGCTTAGTGTGCAGCACATGACATTACATAACCCGAAATAAATATTTGCAGTGATGTTCTAAAGGTTACTGCGGCGGGGAAAGCCGTGCTGAGTCTTGCATCCTGGATTGGATAAAAATTATACAAAGTCCCATAATGCAGAAAATTATTCCTATCATAGACCTGGGAAGTGCCTAACGAGCCAACGCAGAGCTGGGAACAATTAAAGACTAACTCCAGCAGGAAGCACTAACCATCCGGAAACCTAGAAATCAGGAAATGCCAGGGAGCCGTCACTGGAGTGAATGTAGACATTAAGTGCCTGCAAAGAGTCTGCAGGAGATCAGCAGCTATGAGATGTAACAAAAGGCGAAAACAAGTATTTAAAAAAAAAAATAGCAATTGTTTCTAATAAACCGTGCTGTAGCTAACTAAACGTCATTCAGTAAAGGTTCACATCTACTTTATACACAATTCTCAGAGCTGTTTTCCCTATGAATTAGACATGTGCACTGCCAAAAAATTTGTTTAGTTTCGTTTCATTTTAAATTCGGATTTGTGTTATTTCGTTTTCAGGATTCGTGTGTGAAAGTCAATTCGGATTCGGAATTCGGATTCGGACGAAATTCGGTAGCGTTAGTACGAACGTTCGTTTCGTTTTCTGTTCTTATTCGTTTCGTTCGTTCGTTTGCAGCAAAAGTGACATTTGAGGGGGAAAAAATATTTTTCTCCTTCTCTAATGTCACTTTGCTCCAACGAATGAAACGAATAAGAAACGAATAAGAACAGAAAACGAAACGAACGTTCGTACTAGCGCTACCGAATTTCGGAAATGGAAATTCGGATTCGTGTGCATTCGTTATGTCTGTAATTCGGAATTCGGATACATCCGAATGTCCGAATTTCTGAAAATTCGTCCGAATTTCGATTCGGAACGAAACGAATCGCACATGTCTACTATGAATCTCCGTGAACGTCTATTCTGTACGAATAGAGGCAAAAACAAACGTTCTTAGTATATTTTATTTACAGGTGGAATGTGACATTCAGAAATACCTTAGTATGGCCACTAGATGGAGCTGAGGAGCATAGAAAGTAAGCAGTTATTTCCTGTGCTCCTTAGCTCCATCTAGTGGCCATAATGTCACCGCAGTCACTGCAAGAACATAATAATAAGACTCTGTCACCAACCATAAGAATTGCAGGTACAAGCACAGACATTTTTTCAGTGCTTCCTTTTCCATTGCATAAGCATTTATTAACTTTCAATGTCAGGAAGACTCGATTCCCTAGCACACCCCCCTCTTTCCTTGCACATCACAGCCCTCTCCTCTTCTGATAAGGTATAATTACAGCCTGTGCTGGCCCCGCTCCTCGACCCCCTCTCTTCACCACCTCATGTATCTGCAGGGGGAGGAGCGAGGGGGAATACTATAGAGCAGGGCTCAAAATTTCAGGCTATGTGCTAGTATGCACAGGATCCGAGGTATGCACTGGCAGACTTGCCTAGCAAGAGATCCCTTCCAGCGCTATTTTGTTAGTGCTCATTTAAATCATTGGCGCTTCTGGGTTCAAAGTCTTCAGCCTCTTGAATGGCCGGGCTGGGATAACCCAATCATGCTCTCAGAAATTACTTTGTACATGCCCAGAACCATACGTAACTGCGCATGTGCGGCTCGGTGTGCCTAAAAAATTTTTTTTTCAATGCTGGCAGGTAGGAAGAAGAATTTGAGAGACCTACAGAATCCCTTCTTCATTAAAAGCCTGCATGTAATTTTTTTGTTGTTTTTTTTAAATTTTACTTTCAGTAAAACATACAAGTTGTGTGATTCTTCTCCTCCGCGGCCACTCTGTAGCTGCAGCGGCCGCGGAGGAGAAGAATCAGTTTGGCCGTCTTCCCTTCACCCCGGCCAGAGAAGACAGAGCGATCTCCGCAGAAGCAGCGGTAGTTTCACCCCCGTCCTGCCGGCGGCGAACAACACGCCGATGGATTTCCACTCGCCCCCTGGCAGTTTTCAATCGCCAATTGAGCCCTGCTATAGAGTATCACTTGACTGACAGCTCTGAGTCTTAGGCCTTTAGGCGCCCTGTGCGAGAAAGCTTTACAGCGCCCCTCAGTGACCACACCCCTCAGTAACCACACCCCTCCGTAACCACACCCCTCCGTAACCACATCCCTCCGTAACCACACCCCTCCGTAACCACATGCCTCCGTAACCACACCCCTCCGTAACCACACCCCTCCGTAACCACATCCCTCCGTAAGCACACCCATTTTTTCTAATATCCGCACCATTTAAAGACTCCTATTTTGTTAAGCCGCAAAGAAACATATTAAAAGTATGATCAAAATAAAACTTTTATTCAAAGCTATTAATCTTGTCGGCACAATATAAGTATTCTTATCAAATAAAACAACAGAAGGCAAACAATAAATGTCAAACTAAAATAGAGTCTATAAAAATAAAGTGTCAGGTTGTCATGCCGACACCCTTTCTTCAAGTAGGCGCATCTAGAAAAGTAAACATAGAAAACAGAACACAAAACCCGGACTACATATTAAATTAATGAATTACTATTTGCCTGAATATACGAAAAATGTATTCGGGCGCATAATAATTTGTTTGAGAATGTGCGGCGGCCAAGTTGGCCACTGGTGCGTTCTGCAAATGCATGCCACCCTCTTGGAGGCGGGGAGCATGACGTCACATGACGCCATGCATGCCTGGCGTTTTTACTTTTATGGGCTTCGGGGAAATATTAGAAGTCTAAACAGACCCCTGTCATTTCTTTATTAAAATAGAGAAGAAATTGAGGGCACAATGTCCTCAATCTCTTTTTCTGCAGCCTCAGCACCCAATGAATGGAGAGCACTCAGTACAGAGGCTTCCCATTCCATTCAGAAACTGCTGATAGTAAAATATTTACTATCAACAGATTCTCAATGGGGAGGAGCCTCTGTACTGAGTGCTACTCCCCATTCAGAAATTCAGAAATGAACAGGAAGTGATGTAAATCACATCCTGTTCATTCATAACTGGGGACACATAGTGCTATGTGTCCCCAGTTATTTACAAACACTGGAGAGATCAGACGATCGCTCCAGTGTTTGTCCTTCTCAAACAGAGGACCGGTAAATATCAATGATATTTACTGATCCTCCGCTCTGCCACGCACAGAGCCGCTATCATCCTGAAACTGACAGGATGATGGCGGCTCCGCTTTTCTCACCGCTCAGCCGCTCTGACAGCAGGCAGTGCTCCCTCTTGCGCATCCCACCCGCCCCCCTGCAGGCTTCAGTGGACAGTTTCTCCTCGGAACCCCCGCTGCCTCAGCCCATACAGATCCGAGGACAGCGCTGAAGGGGGGCAGAGGAGGGAGCGCTCTCATGTCAGATGGTCGAGTGGTGAGGAGGAGAGAAGCCTCAGGCTGTAGCCGTCCCGAGGACGAGCTGTATTGGCCGCCTGGCGCCCTTGTTGCCACGGCGCCCTGTGCGGCAGCACAGCTCGAACACCCCAAAGGCCAGCCCTGTTGCTGACATTACATCTAAGATGGCGGTACCCAGCAACAGTCTCGGGGGTTCTGGATGTCTACACAAGGGAGGTTTTTACAGGTAAATAACATGAATTATCAACATTAAACCTCATCTGCCATAAAGTTGCCCATTCCCTATTTTTTCAAGGTCCTCTTGTAAAGTTATACTATCTTGGTTTGTTTCTATTACCCTCCCAATTTTGGTATCGTCAGCAAACACTGAGATTTCACTGTTTACTCCGTCCCCGATGTCGTTAATAAACAGGTTGAAAACAGTGGACAGCTGTTGTGGAACTACAAGTCCCATGAGGCATTGCAAGACTGACAATTACAGGTATGACTCCCTGAGGCATGATGGGATTACATGTTGGGAGTTTTAATCTTTCCCTACTTTATCTAAACATAAAAGAAACCTTTTGTCTTGACATTTACCATACAAGTATGTTGCAGTGGTCACATGACCTGCACTAAAATCTTCCAGGCAGATCTGTGCAGCGTGAACTTTGTGCTGCATTTATACTGTATGTATGCGTCCTGCTGATTCCTGATTGGTTGCTGCAGTCATGGCTTTCCTCCGGAATGTCAACAGTGGGAAGTCCTACAATGTTATTTCCTTCACTTCCCCAGGCTATGATAACAGACGTTCCCCAGTTCAGCCATGATATCGCCCTCGCTTGGACGCGTCATTCTCTCGCTCAGGTCCAGGGCTGTGCTGCTGCAGCCATGCAGGGTAGGGGGGGCACAGCTCAGAGCAGTGAGCAGGGTAGGGGGGACACAGCTCAGAGCAGTGAGCAGGGTAGGGGGGACACAGCTCAGAGCAGTGAGCAGGGTAGGGAGGACACAGCTCAGAGCAGTGAGCAG